TGTGTTCAACATGTAAGAAGTAGAAAGTACAGGTATTTGTGTTCAACATGTAAGAAGTAGAAAGTACAAGTATTTCTGTTCAACATGTAAGAAGTAGAAAGTACAGGTATTTGAGTTCAACATGTAAGAAGTAGAAAGTACAGGTATTTGTGTTCAACATGTAAGAAGTAGAAAGTACAGGTATTTGAGTTCAACATGTAAGAAGTAGAAAGTACAGGTATTTGTGTTCAACATGTAAGAAGTAGAAAGTACAGGTATTTGAGTTTCAAATGTAAGAAGTAGAAAGTACAGGTATTGTGTTCAACATGTAAGAAGTAGAAAGTACAGGTATTTGTGTTCAAATGTAAGAAGTAGAAAGTACAGGTATTTGAGTTCAACATGTAAGAAGTAGAAAGTACAGGTATTTGTGTTCAACTGTAAGAAGTAGAAAGTACAGGTATTTGTGTTCAACATGTAAGAAGTAGAAAGTACAGGTATTTGAGTTCAAATGTAAGAAGTAGAAAGTACAGGTATTTGTGTTCAACATGTAAGAAGTAGAAAGTACAGGTATTTGTGTTCAACATGTAAGAAGAAGAAAGTACAAGGTATTTCTGTTCAACATGTAAGAAGTAGAAAGTACAGGTATTTGTGTTCAACATGTAAGAAGTAGAAAGTACAGGTATTTGTGTTCAAAATGTAAGAAGTAGAAAGTACAGGTATTTGTGTTCAACATGTAAGAAGTAGAAAGTACAGGTATTTGTGTTCAACATGTAAGAAGTAGAAAGTACAAGTATTTCTGTTCAACATGTAAGAAGTAGAAAGTACAGGTATTTGTGTTCAACATGTAAGAAGTAGAAAGTACAGGTTTGTGTTCAACATGTAAGAAGTAGAAAGTACAGGTATTTGTGTTCAACATGTAAGAAGTAGAAAGTACAGGTATTTGAGTTTAAAATGTAAGAAGTAGAAAGTACAGGTATTTGTGTTCAACATGTAAGAAGTAGAAAGTACAGGTATTTGTGTTCAACATGTAAGAAGTAGAAAGTACAGGTATTTGTGTTCAACATGTAAGAAGTAGAAAGTACAGGTATTTGTGTTCAACATGTAAGAAGTAGAAAGTACAGGTATTTGTGTTCAACATGTAAGAAGTAGAAAGTACAGGTATTTGTGTTCAACATGTAAGAAGTAGAAAGTACAGGAATTTGGTTCAACATGAAGAAGAAGTAGAAAGTACAGGTATTTGTGTTCAACATGTAAGAAGTAGAAAGTACAGGTATTTGTGTTCAAATGTAAGAAGTAGAAGTAGAAAGTACAGGTATTTGTGTTCAAACATGTAAGAAGTAGAAAGTACAGGTATTTGTGTTCAACATGTAAGAAGTAGAAAGTACAAGTATTTGTGTTCAACATGTAAGAAGTAGAAAGTACAGGTATTTGTGTTCAACATGTAAGAAGTAGAAAGTACAGGTATTTGTGTTCAACATGTAAGAAGTAGAAAGTACAGGTATTTGTGTTCAACATGTAAGAAGTAGAAAGTACAGGTATTTGAGTTTAAAATGTAAGAAGTAGAAAGTACAGGTATTTGAGTTTAAAATGTAAGAAGTAGAAAGTACAGGTATTTGAGTTCAACATGTAAGAAGTAGAAAGTACAGGTATTTGAGTTTAAAATGTAAGAAGTAGAAAGTACAGGTATTTGTGTTCAACATGTAAGAAGTAGAAAGTACAGGTATTTGTGTTCAAAATGTAAGAAGTAGAAAGTACAGGTATTTGAGTTCAACATGTAAGAAGTAGAAAGTACAGGTATTTGTGTTCAACATGTAAGAAGTAGAAAGTACAGGTATTTGAGTTCAAAATGTAAGAAGTAGAAAGTACAGGTATTTGTGTTCAACATGTAAGAAGTAGAAAGTACAGGTATTTGAGTTCAACATGTAAGAAGTAGAAAGTACAGGTATTTGTGTTCAACATGTAAGAAGTAGAAAGTACAGGTATTTGTGTCAACATGTAAGAAGTAGAAAGTACAGGTATTTGGGTTCAACATGTAAGAAGTAGAAAGTACAGGTATTTGGGTTCAAAGTGTAAGAAGTAGAAAGTACATGTATTTGTGTTCAACATGTAAGAAGTAGAAAGTGCAGGTATTTGTGTTCAACATGTAAGAAGTAGAAAGTACAAGTATTTGTGTTCAACATGTAAGAAGTAGAAAGTACAGGTATTTGGGTTCAAAGTATAAGAAGTAGAAAGTACAGGTATTTGAGTTCAACATGTAAGAAGTAGAAAGTACAGGTATTTGTGTTCAACATGTAAGAAGTAGAAAGTACAAGTATTTGTTCAACATGTAAGAAGTAGAAAGTACAGGTATTTGTCAACATGTAAGAAGTAAGAAAGTACAGTATTTGTGTTCAACATGTAAGAAGTAGAAAGTACAGGTATTTGTGTTTCAACATGTGAGAAGTAGAAAGTACAGGTATTTGAGTTCAACATGTAAGAAGTAGAAAGTACAGGTATTTGTGTTCAACATGTAAGAAGTAGAAAGTACAGGTATTTGGTTCAACATGTGAGAAGTAGAAAGTACAAGTATTTCTGTTCAACATGTAAGAAGTAGAAAGTACAGGTATTTGAGTTCAACATGTAAGAAGTAGAAAGTACAGGTATTTGTGTTCAACATGTAAGAAGTAGAAAGTACAGGTATTTGTGTTCAACATGTGAGAAGTAGAAAGTACAGGTATTGTGTTCAACATGTAAGAAGTAGAAAGTACAGGTATTTGTGTTCAACATGTGAGAAGTAGAAAGTACAGGTATTTGAGTTCAACATGTAAGAAGTAGAAAGTACAGGTATTTGTGTTCAACATGTAAGAAGTAGAAAGTACAGGTATTTGTGTTCAACATGTGAGAAGTAGAAAGTACAAGTATTTCTGTTCAACATGTAAGAAGTAGAAAGTACAGGTATTTGAGTTCAACATGTAAGAAGTAGAAAGTACAGGTATTTGTGTTCAACATGTAAGAAGTAGAAAGTACAGGTATTGTGTTCAACATGTGAGAAGTAGAAAGTACAGTATTTGTGTTCAACATGTAAGAAGTAGAAAGTACAGGTATTTGAGTTCAACATGAGAGAAGTAGAAAGTACAGGTATTTGAGTTCAACATGTAAGAAGTAGAAAGTACAGGTATTTGTGTTCAACATGTGAGAAGTAGAAAGTACAGGTATTTGTGTTCAACATGTAAGAAGTAGAAAGTACAGGTATTTGGGTTCAACATGTAAGAAGTAGAAAGTACAGGTACTTGTGTTCAACATGTAAGAAGTAGAAAGTACAGGTATTTGTGTTCAACATGTAAGAAGTAGAAAGTACAGGTATTGTGTTCACAAATGTAAGAAGTAGAAAGTACAGGTATTTGGTTCAACATGTAAGAAGTAGAAGTACAGGTATTTGTGTTCAACATGTAAGAAGTAAAAGTACAGGTATTTGTGTTCAATGTAAGAAGTAGAAAGTACAGGTATTTGAGTTCAACATGTGAGAAGTAGAAAGTACAGGTATTTGTGTTCAACATGTAAGAAGTAGAAAGTACAGGTATTTGTGTTCAACATGAGAAGTAGAAAGTACAGGTATTTGAGTTCAAAATGTAAGAAGTAGAAAGTACAGGTATTTGTGTTCAAATGTAGAAGTAGAAAGTACAGGTATTTGTGTTCAACATGTAAGAGAAGAAAGTACAGGTATTTGTGTTCAACATGTAAGAAGTAGAAAGTACAGGTATTTGTGTTCACATGTGAGAAGTAGAAAGTACAGGTATTTGAGTTCAACATGTAGAAGTAGAAAGTACAGGTATTTGTGTTCAACATGTAAGAAGTAGAAAGTACAGGTATTTGTGTTCAACATGTAAGAAGTAGAAAGTACAGGTATTTGTGTTCAAATGTGAGAAGTAGAAAGTACAGGTATTTGTGTTCAACATGTAAGAAGTAGAAAGTACAGGTATTTGTGTTCAACATGTAAGAAGTAGAAAGTACAGGTATTTGTGTTCAACATGTGAGAAGTAGAAAGTACAGGTATTTGTGTTCAAAATGTAAGGAGTCAAAGTAAAAAGTCGTCAGGAAAATAAGTAGTGCAGTAAAGTACTGATACCAGAAAAATGTACTTAAGTACAGCAACAAAGTATTTGTACTCCACTACTTCCCACCTCTGTCTTCAAGTCTTCATTAAAAACTCACCTGTTCACCATGACCTCTGACCCCTAAACCATCACAGTCCCTCTGCTATTTATATAATTTCTACTTTATTATTAGCCCCTCTTGTTTGTTTGTTCACTGTGCAAAGCGGCCTTCTTGAAAGGCGCTATACAATATAATCTGTTGTTATTATTATTATTATTAAAAGGGAAGTGAATTTAAAAAGTGCTAGTTGACAAATAATTGCTACCTTCAGGCAGATCCATGCTAGCTGTTTCCAGCTGTTTCCATTCTTTATGCTAAGCTAAGCGGACGAATTAACTAAACTTTTTTTTTACGTGGTCACAAACGTAATGTCAAAAGAAACAAGAAAAAGAAAACGTAATATAAATAAATAACATAATAATAAATATGCGAATACAAAAATATTAGACAATAATTAAATCCAATATTAAAAAATTAATTAAATCAATAATACATTGTGACGTTGCTATGCTTCTTTTCCAACAAACAATATGTCAAAAGACGCATGGACAACATTCAATAAAATAAAGTAATAATTAATAAATACATTAATAAATCAGAAAATACAAAAATAATACAAACAATTTATTTAAAAAAAAGCTATAAATAGAAATAAATAATCACAACTATGCATTTAATCATTTAAATACATATCAATAATTATGAAAATAAAATACTATTACTTGTATAACAGGGTCCTCACAAGTACAGCAGTAAGTGTAGGTGTGTAAGTGTGTGTAAGTGTAGGTGTGTAAGTGACTGTAAGTGTGTGTGTGTGTGTGTGTGTGTGTGTGTGTGTGTGAGTGTGTGTGTGTGTGTGTGTGTGTGTGTGTGAGTGAGTGTGTTACCTGTAGAAGTAAGAGCAACCTGTGGTTTGATCTCTGCTGAGGCTGGTTTTGGTTTCTGTGAGAACAAAAAGGAAATGCTTATTATTCTGCAGAGCGATTCCTCAGATGAATGTATTCTGTATTATTCTGTGTGAGTGATGATGAGTCTCTGACTCTCGGACGTTATCATCATTGCTAAACAGCTCTTGGATTGTTTGTAGTTTTTATTATAAACCCAAAGGACAATCTAGTGGCAGCATAAATCCATACATGTAATGCACACTTAGTACACTTAAAGACAGCCATTAAAGAGTCCTAACAATAACAACAAGGCTATACACACATGTCCCCCAAAAGTGTGTGTGTGTGTGTGTGTGTGTGTGTGTGTGTTACCATGTGGAGGTTCCTGGGAGCTCAAAAGAGGGGAGGAGCGAAGAGGGTCCACATTCACCGGCAAAACAGGACTGTAGAAATGACACACACACACACACACACACACACACACACACACACACACACACACACACACACACACACACACACACACACACACACACACACACACACACACACACACACACACACACACACACACACACACACACACACACACACAGTGTCAAGCAGAGCAGGTCAGAGGTCTATGGGCTCAGAACAGTCTCATAATACACACATGCACCCAGAAGGATTCACACTTGTGTTTTTCAATGTTCCGTTTCATATACATGTAAATAAAATCCAAATACAGAAAAAAGTTTTACAGATATATTTTTGATCCACACATATTTGTTTTCCGTTTAAATCCCCTGCACCTGCAAACACAAACAGCTTCCTGTGCACGGATCGCTGTGCATTCGTGTGTGGGGTTTTGAGACTCCCCTGACGGTCAGCCGATTCGTACTTGTAATTTGTTCTATCTATAGCCAATCAGATGTCTCCTCAACTCTAAGCCAATCACATGAGCGCGCCCCCACGAGGGTAGATTTCTTGCGTTCATGACGTAGCGCTTCATATACGCAGTCCGGAGCTGACAGGTCCATGGAGCCTGCCTGCGGGCGCTAATCTCAGGACACCTCCACTCTCAGTACAGCGCCACTTTCCGAAGAGGAAATGCACGCAAATACAAGCCTTTATATTATTAAGGTACAGCGCCACTTTCCGAACCATTGATGAATGCTTGTGCACAAAAACGGCAGGCAAAACCGTTTTAAATGTGTGTTTCCTGTATGGCGAATACAGCTGCTTTATTTATGTCTGTATGAAGTTGTTGTGAGTGTAGAGGGAGCAGCTACAGGCTAGCTTAGCCTACTCGATCAGTGCACTACGAAGCCAGTGCTAGACAGTGACCTGTTAACGGGGGGAGCCCCGCCGGTCATTATCGGCCGATATTCACTCTTAATAGTTTGATCGGTGCTCTCTATAAAGGCCGATCAGGAGAGCTGGATCTGATCGATATGGACATAAACGCGAGTGAAGTGTAACCGGACGCGAGAGAGAGATCAGATCAGCTGCTGAGTCTGATGGAGACACGCTGCTCTGCATGATCACCTGATGCTCCGCCCTCTGTTTAGCGAGCTGACCGGACTGCGCAAAATGCGTATATATGTCATGAACGCAAGAAATCATACCCTCGTGGGGGCGCGCTCATGTGATTGGCTTAGAATGAAGGAGAAATCTGATTGGCTATAGATAGAAAAAATTACAAGTATGAATCGGCTGGCGTCTCAAAAAACCCACACACGAATGCACAGCGATCCGTGCACAGAAAGCGGTGTGTGTTTGCAGGTGCAGGGGATTTAAACGGAAAACAAATATGTGAGGATCAAAAATACACATGTAAAACTTTTTTCTGTATTTGGATTTTATTTACATGTATATGAAACGGAACACATTTGTGTGTGCATTGAAAAACACAAGTGTGGATCCGGAAATACAAGTGTGAATCCTTCTGTGTGCATGTGTGTATTATGAGACTGTTCTGAGCCCATAGAGGTCACATGACATCACAGACAGGAAGTGGCGTTACCTGCTCCTGAAGGTCGGAGTCGTCCTCTCCAGCCGACCGTTGGATTTACTGACTCTCTCTGCAGATTGAAATTAAAGTTGATTTATTATGTTATTAATGTCGGTAAATACAGATTTACTAAAGTGTTTGTTATGAACATTGTAGTTTAGAAATATATAAATGATTGAGCCAGGGAAGGGGACACAATTCCCTCCAAATGTTCAGAGTTTTTAAGATTAAACTTGAGAAAGGGTTAGGGTTGCTAGAAAATATTTAATTTCTCTATATTTTTGTTTACCTATTTATTATTGATTATATCACCAACAATTCAAGTTTTCTTCTTGTTTATTCACTTCTTAAATCTGAGAGAATTTTCCATTTCCCCTGAATGTATGAGTTTATTTTAGGAAATTCTGAATTTTTAAGGTTAAAGGTGGGGTAGGTAATTTTGAGAAACCAGCTCGAGTGCGCTAGAATTTGAAAATACACAGCCGGAAGAAATCTTTCACTTCCTCACAGAGCCCCTCCTCCAACACACACAGGCAGGTAGGCCATCCAGTTACTTTAGCCGAGCCGGCTCAGATGATTGGTCGTGCTTTTTACAGTACTACGGCTTCCACTGATGACTTTTTTTAATGGCACTTCAGATTTTCATTGTTATCGGGATGTTAAGAGCATTCCATGGAATATAACAAAAAGTGTATCTCGAGCCGGTTTCTCAAACTTACCTACCCCACCTTTAAAGTTAAACAGGTAGTAATAAATATATATATACAAACTGATATCATCATAATAATAATACATCTAATTTATATATTGCTTTATATGGCAAAAATACGCAAAGACAATTTACAAAAAAATTCTCACTTAAGAAAAAAAAACGTCAATTTGTTTGTAAATGTACACAGTAAGTCAGAAGGTTAATTAAATACAGTAATTACATGTGAACGTGTTAGTAGGGAATAACTCTCCAGGTGCAACAGGATGGAGAATCACCTGTGTCCTGATTTACCTGAGAGCTGGTGCAGCAGTGTTGAGGCCAGATTCACCGACATGTCCTGCCACAGCGCCGCTCTGAGGCACTGGTCTGCCATCTTGGCTCCTGAGGAGAACTGGTCTTCCATCTTGGCTCCTGAGGAGAACTGGTCTTCCATTTTGGCTCCTGAGGAGAACTGGTCTTTAATCTTGGCTCTGAAGAAGAGCTGCTCCTCCTTCTTCACTCCGGAGAGAACGTGGTCCGCCATCTTGGCTCCGGGAAGAAGCCGGTTCTCCATTTTGGCTCCGAAGAGAAGCTGGTTCTCCGCCCTGTTGGCCCCTGAAGGAAACTGGTCCTCCATCTTGACTCCGGAGAGGAACGTGTTGGCGGGGAAAGGGCTCTGTGCAATTTTGGCTTTTAAGAGAAGCTGGTCCTCCATCTTGGCTCCGGATAGAAGCTGGTCCGCCATCTTGGCTCCATGATCCTCCAGTTTCACTTTGAACTGAAACTTGTTGGCATCGGAGACGACGCTTCCTGCCGCTTTAGAGCCAGAATGGCCGCCTCCAGTGTAAAAGTTGTCTTCTTTTTTAAGGCCATTGAGACACTGGTCCGCCATTTTGGCTCCAGGGTGCAGGTTCACCTGGTTGCCACGGAGACCCTGGTCTTCTGTTTTGATTTTGAAAATATGTGGAGTTGGCTTTTTCGGCGAAGGTGGGGTTATCTCTGCTGTGATTGGTCGATGGTGGACGAGGTCGACCTCCATCGGCTCTTCTTCTTCTTTGACCCGAACCATGTGGCTGCTCACTTCTTGCCGCTCTGTGATTGGTGGAAAATCAGTCAGTATTCTTCTTGCAAGTAATGATAGTTTTTATTATTGATACACACACACACACACACACACACACACACACACACACACACACACACACACACACACACACACACACACACACACACACACACTTACAGTCACTTACACACCTACACTTACACACACTTACACACCTACACTTACACACACTTATATTTACAGTATGTTGAACCGATATAACCCAGACCAATATAACCATAAACACAAAAGACAATAAAACAATTTAAAGCTAGACTACATTTACTGTGTGTGTGTGTCAATAATAACACACACACACACACACACACACACACACACACACACACACACACACACACACACACACACACAATCAACACACACACACACACACACACACCTGCCAGTTTTCTCAGCAGGTCTGAGGCCAGTGTGTCGGTGTTGGCGTTGCCTTCAGGTGTGTGTGAGAGCGTGGGAGGTTCGGGACTCGCCCCCGGTCCGTCCGGAGAGAGAGCGAGACCCGGTTCATCCGCCGGCCTCCCAGGATGCATCTGGGCCTTCTGGGTCGCCTCTGGAGAGAGAGAGATTTATTTTATTTAATTTATTTAATTTATTTAATTTAATTAATTTAATTTAATTAATTTAATTAATTTAATTAATTTAATTTATATGGCATGGTTTTAAGCTTTTTTTTGCTTTTCCACTCAGGGCTACTTTTTCACCTTTTTCCTGGCCCTCCAAAATCGAGGTTTTTACCGGGCCAACAATTGGGCTGAATATGCTAAACTAGTGACGTAAACACTCTCCACTGCTGAATGGTCAGAGAGAATCGCTGGCAAGGGGGCTACAACTACAACAACATGAACATATTTGACCGTGATTTAATTGTAATACACGTTTCAAAATGATGCCGAAGTAACAACATACTGATACCGGTTAGTAAAAACCATGAATTAATGCTTTGACAAGTCTGCAGACAGACGGCAGGCGAAAAACCCTTTTAAAATGCTTGTTTTCTGAATGGAGATCGGCTAAGCTAACGTTGTATATGCTCCGACCGTCCACACTCACAACAACGGCCTACAGACATAAATAAACCAGCGACTGTATTCTCCATGACACAGGCAGTCTGTGGTTTGTACTTGTTTAACTTCTGTCTAGTTTCTGAACAGATATGAAGAGCTGTGAGCTCGGAGTGCTAACAGCTAACGGCTGATGTAGGTTTTGTGGTTCTCATTGAAGATGACGTCACGGCTCCGCCTACACTGCGTTACTATAGTTACTACCTCAGTTCCTAAACTGTAGTGGAAACGCAGCATAAAGTGAGCTTGGCCTAATAAGGCCTAACTATACCGTGCTAAGCCGAGCGAGGCCCTGCAGTGGAAATGCGCCATTTTAAAATAAATTATTAATATTAAAACATTTAAATCACACTTACATGAAATAGAATACCCAAAGAATAATCTTAAAAATTAATAAATTAGAAATAAAAAGATCACATTTATAATCTACCTGTTTCTAGTTATTCTTTCACACACACATACAGGTATTGGGCCGAGGGCGACACCGTACTATCCGCCGTTTTACGCGAGGTGCAAGCAGGCCAAGGGTTTAGCCGTACACCGTCTAGGTGTTGCTAAGCTTCCTGTACTGAATATCATAGTCTATTGCCTTAATCAATATCTAGTCAACTCTAAAATACCACATATATGCAATGGCATGATAATATTATTGTGACAAGTGGGGTATTCACCTGGTGTTTGCAGAAGATAGACGTAGATGCTGCCAAAATCGACGCAGTCTGTAAGGACAATCCGACAACCCACACAGCTCTAGTTTACGCTGGTACCGACCTAGAGCACACCCCTCAAGTCCAGAGATGTAATCCGAAGACATGCAGCGATTTCTTCGGTCGTTAATTCAGAAAAAAAACCTAGTGCGCTCTGCCTTGCTACGTTAGCTAGCTGTTTATATTTGCACCTCCAGGATATTTGCACCTCCATGAAAATGGCGTATTTATATATATATATGGCGCGTGTTGCATTGTGGGTAGCTCGTGACGTCACTGTGTGTGAAAGAATCAAATAATTAATGGCCAAAATGATAATCCTAAATAAAAAATGTAAATTCTCACCTACCTTATCTCACCTTCACTTAGAACTAAATAACATAAATAATAAATAAATTCTTAAATAACAAAATAAAATAGATAAATATATTTTTTACCTTGTATTTATTTATATTTCTTATTATTATCACTTTTGTATAATATTTTTTTTTATTATGTACAATCATGTAGATATTTGTATTATTATAACTATTATTTTAAATTCACCAAAATAAGAAAACATTTAAAACATGAGAAAATGACACTTGCTTCACGGCGTTAATTACTAATCAATAATGGAAATTGGGCTTCCCTTTCTGTCAATGTACTTATTGATTAATCCTTAGCACTGTATAAGATGTGTGCATACTGTCTGTGTGTGTGTGTGTGTGTGTGTGTGTGTGTGCGTGTGTGTGTGTGTTACCTGACAGCCTGATGAGGAGGTCAGACGCCATCTTGGTGCTGACATCAGGGCTGAAGAGAGAGGTGGCTGCTGGGAAGGGACTCGAACCGGCAGCAGCATCTCCTCTAGTCGTGCGTGTATGTGTGTTTGTGTGTGTGGCTGCATCAGAGGGACGCTGCAACACACTCGACCCACGCTTCATTTTCCACGGTGTGTGTGTGTGTGTGTGTGTGTGTGTGTAGAGAAGAGTCAAGAGGAAGAGGAGGAAGAAGAAGGCAGTGTTGCTAAAATAAGACGAGTGTGTTTTTTAACATATGGGAGCATGAGGGGAGAAAATGGGGGAGGATCTCTGCCTCTCATTGACCTGGAGGAGAAGAGGAAGAGGAGGAGAGAGGAAGAGGAGGAGAAAGAGGAGGAGGAGGAGGAAGAGGAAGAAGAGGAAGAGGAGAGAGGAAGAGGAGAGAGAGGAAGTGGAGGAGAGAGGAAGAGGAAGAGGAGGAAGAGGAGGAGAGAGGACAGAGAGAGGAAAGAGGAGGAGGAAGAGGAAGAGGAGAGAGAGACACAGATATGAACAAAGTGAATCTGTGAATGAATACATTATTGGATGGATAAGAGACTCAATAATAAGGGTATAAATCATTTTATATCCGGTTATCGCCATGGCAACGGCCCCTGTGTGGTGCACCCGTCTCCTGCCCTGACCTTCGCTGCCCGACAACCAATCAGAATCATCGTCAGTTAGGATCATCAATAACCACCTGCCACCTGTTCAATTACTGACTAATACAAAGTTATATATATTTCAACAGTAATGGGCATCCGTCTAATAATAGATGATAATAGAGCAGCTTAAAAATAAATAAAATGATTTTGTATAATAATAAAAAATGTAAAATTGCTTCATACATATTATTCATCTTGGAAGAAAATAAATACATATTGGGAGTTAATAAAATAATTAGAAATAATATAGTTTTTAATCTAAATGCATAAAGATTGTGTACAAAAATATAAAATAATGTAATCAATCAAATTAGACATAATATTATTTAAATAAAAATGTGGTTAACAAAAATTAAATGGGGAGAGATAAATTATAAAAGTATATAAATATAACAAAATATTGAATTATTTAGCATATTAAATGAATTAAATAAAATACTTATTCTGCGTCTCATCCACACATTATATATCTTTTAGCATTTTTACATAAGGTCAATAAAATATTAAATACTAGATAAATAAAGGTATTTATTCTGAATTTTATTAGAATAAAAAATAAATTATAAAGGATTTGAATGGAAATGAGGTCAACATGTCATTTACAAAATAGATACAAAATAAAACAGGACAAAAAAAATTAAATTAGGAAATATAAAACTAAAATAGCCTCATCATATTAAAATAAAAATAATAATTAAAAAGAAAAGGAAACATTTACATAATCCAAACAATTAAGTAAAGCTATGAATTAAATAATTAAAATCATTAAGACGCCAGCCTTTTCATCACCTCGGTTCACTTCCACCCCCGTCTCCAGGCGACACGGTCCGCCACCGCATCCGCCCGAGGACCTCTATCTCCGGCTACAGTTGCTCCACAACCCCGGCCTCCCACCTCCCACCTCCGCTGGGTGTCAAAAAACCCCATGACTCCCCGACACAGAAACTCCTTTGTACCCGTGATATAATGCCATCTTTTACCGGTTATTTCCCCCGTTACCGGGAATGAGGGCAGGTGTCAAGAGTCGCCCCCCCCCCGCCTCTCCCTCCTCCCTGCAACATGGCTGCATGGTAACCCGACCTCACGAGACCTCAGAAGTCATCTTCCCGGGTCTAACCAGGGCTCGTTCTAAATGTTAACGTTGACCGATATGTTTCCAATATCTTCCTCCACGACTTACCGGTACCGGGAGGGCAGGTGGTGCATTCCGGGGGGGCAAAGACTATATTTAGCCCACAGTCGGTTTCTCTCATGCTGCATCCCGTCCTTTCTTCCTCACCTCCGGTCACATCATCCGCTCTTTTCTCCGGTTGGAACATAAAAAAACACCGGGCAGATGATCCGGTTCTTCCTCCCGAGCCCCGAGGAGACGGGTCGGTCACCGATCAGAGGGAGGTTCTCTCTCTAGTTGAGAAGGAGAAGAGAGAGCGTAGACGGAGCGAGAGCGTAGCAGAGAGCAGAGAGCAGAGAGAAGAGAGGGGCCTCTCCCTCTCTCTATCTCTCTCTTCCCTCTTTCTCCTTATTCTCGCCTCTCTCTCTCTCTCTCTCTCTCTCTCTCTCTCTCTCTCTCTCTCTCTCTCTCTCTCTCTCTCTCTCGCTGTGTGTGTGTGTCCACGCGCCGGATCATAGCACAAGGGCAGGACATGCGTGAACCCGCGTGCACGCGCACACATGCTCGCGCCCAATTCACCGCACACACTCTATGAGTGCAGCACGAGACATTCAGATGTTACAGTCAGGACAGAAACACACCGGAAGAGAGAGAAGGGGGGGGGGGGGGGGGGGGGGGGGGGAACAAATCCAGAACAAGTCTCAAGTCAAGACCGATAGTGTTGATTTTGGTACCAGGTCAAGACAGAGAAGTCCCAAGTCTGGGACCAAATTAAGGCTGAATAGTCCAATTTTAAGACTGACTTGCCCTGAGTCAGGTGACAAGTCAAGACCAACAAGTCCCAAGTATAAACTGACTAGTCCAAGTCTGGTACCAAGTTAAGACCGACTAATTCTGAGCCGTAACAAGTCAAGACGGATTAGTCCAGACTCTAGACTGACTAGTCCGGTCTAAAATTGAATAGTCCAAGTCTGGTACCAAGTTTAGACAGACAAGTCCCAAGTCAAGACCGACTAGTCCTGACTCTCATCCCAAGTCATTATGACTAGTCCCAAATCCGGTTAAATTGAAGACCAACAAGACAAGTTCTAAACTGAAGTCCCGAGTCTGTTACCAAGACGGACAAGTTTGAAGTCAAGAGTTACAAGTTCAGACCTGAGTAAAGACATTACAATACAAGTTGTAAATGAAGTAAACAATATAAGAATTAAAAGCAGATAATACATTTAAAGTATGTATAAGAAGTAATACTAACACCAGTACCTATAGAGTAAATACATATGTAGTAGAAATACATATATTTGTAGCAGTAACAGTGATATTAGAGAGGTATAGGGAGTAGTATTTGTAACAACAGGTCAGATATCGCAGTATTGTTGTGTATTTTCATGCAGTGTCATGTTTCAGCCTGCAGGGGGAGACAGAGACTGCTTTCTGCGTGAGACACTAATAAATAATTGGTGGTATGACAAGAAATTAGATCAGAAATATACATTTATTACATTCTTGGAAGTGTAAAATATGAAGAATCGCGTTTGATGCTAAAAAAGATACAAAAACGATGTGATTAAAATAAATGACTTCAGTTTTGTTTCATCGTTTCTTCTCCTCTTCATCACAGGCTCTGCAGAAGAGACACAGAATGTATTTTAAATATTCTGCAGATACTAAATATGATGCATTTTATATATATATTGTATTTCCTCACAGAGCCTTGTAGAAGCTCTTCTGGTTCATCATGTGCTCTCTGAAGATGTTGATGGCTTTAAACGCGTCCATGTGCTCCTGACGCCCCTCCATCAGCTTCCTGAGCCTGAAACACGGAGGCACTTTTAGAAACACTCACATATATTAGCTAAAGTAACAAGAACACACTTTAGTGGTAAACGTACTGTGAGGTACTTCTACTGCACTACAATTTGGAAAAAAACGATGGTAATTAAATCAACGGACGGTAAAAGCGTCTAACAAGTAAGTAGTAACATGTAATGTTAACACAAGGACGATTCACAAGAAAAACACTTCAAACAACATAGAAATATTTCACAAAAATGTGTTTGTGATGTTTTAGGATCATGAAAAGTTGCTAAATCTCATAATTCTTTGTGGACTCTCATGTTTTGACCTTCAGAGCCACCGTAGTGATTAAACGTAATGGTATGTACCTCAGTATCCAGGCGACCTCCTCCTGAGTGTCCTCTCTCCACTGCTGCCGGACGCGGCTCTCTTTAACCCCAACACCCATCATCTCCCCGGCCATCAGGACCCTCAACTGGACCCGGGCCGAAAGAGCCAGAAGGTAATACACCGGATCGTCCAGAACCAGGGGGGGGGGAGAGAGGCGGGGCCACTGAGGGGGGGAAGGACCATGGAGACTCTGTGGGGGGGTGGGGGGGAGTTTAATGTTCAAGTTCAGGTTCATATTAGTATTTAGTGACATGTCTCCACGCTTTAATGTTCAAAAAGCTCTATATTGTTCTCATGTGCTGCAGCACCTCTTTTCACCCTCTGTCTGAAACCAGAGCCCAGTCTGCTCTGATTGGTTAGCTGGCCGGCTCTGTTGTGATTGGTCAAGCACTTTGTCCTTTCCCCTTAGTCTATCACGTTCAATGTGTTGGAGCGCTAGTCAATAGGAGCTGAGTATTCCATAGTGATCTCACTATGTTCTGGAAGTAAGGTGTCCAATAGAGGTCCGTGTGTGTGTGTGTGTGTGTGTGTGTGTGTCTGTGTGTGTGTGTGTGTGTCTCACCTGGTTTCTGCTGCTGTAGTGTTTGAGTGTTTCCTGCAGCAGTGATCTGGTTTCATCTGCTTCCTGTAACCGACCAATCAGAGCCTGCAGGAAGATACAAGATAAAGCATTAACAAAGAAATACAGAAACCTAGACAGGACATAAAGTCACAGAAACATAAACAGAAGCCCTCCGGTGTTGACCTCTGACCTCCAGTGAGCTGCTGGCTCCGGTCAGGTAGAGCGCCTCCTGCTGGAGGAAGTGTGTATAGCAGCGCTGAGTCAGATTCCCATCCCGCAGCTCCTGGAAGAAGGAGGAGGATTGGAGGATTTCATCCGCCTGAAGCTCACTGAAGCCCCACACCACGTCCCAGAGACTCGACCCGGGGACCAGGCCTGAAGAGAACACATTAAGCAAAGGGACATTACCTAAAGGCAAGGCACGTTTATTCATACAGCAGCTTTCAACACGGGGCAGTTCAGAGGGCTTTACAGACAGCTAGACTTTAAGAGCATTTAGAAAAACATGGCATTTCAAATACATGAACAAAAGTCACAGTGCAGTAAAGCAAAAGTATTAGTTGCTCTTACCTGAAGACGACAACAGCGGGACAGAAGCCAGGAGCAGACACACACACACACACTTCATCATCTACCTGAAACACACACACACACACACACACACACACACACACACACACACACACACACACACACACACACACACACACACACACACACACACACACACACACACACACACACACACAATAAATAAATAAAAATACCAAGTTAAGTTAAAGTCACTAACGAGGGCAAATACACGGGGAAATCTTCACCGTAATTAAAGCTGTAAGATAAATGTAAAACAAATAAGGCGTGTGGCGCAGTGGACTAGTGCGTTGGAGTTGGTGTTGGGATCAGGGGGGTCACAGGTTCAAACCCTGCATGTCGTTGTGTCCCTGAGACACACTCGCTTTGGATAAAAGCGTCTAACAAGTAACATGTAATGTAATGATTTAAAAGTAGTGGAGGTTGGTAATAACCGAGTGTCTTTGAAAAGCCCTCGGTTACTCCCTTATTTGCCTCACATCTGAATTTATGTAAATACATTTATGCAAATAAAGAATACTTAGCCTAGTAATGCAAAGTGTATTATTATCTAAGTTTGCAAGCGAGCTGTGGTGTAGTGTGCTATCATTCACAAAAATCAATTGCGTGACTCTCACGGTCAATGCATGAGTGTTGGCAGCCCTGCCTCAGGAAAGGATTTGTAATATTTCCTCACAGCAGCTGCAGGTAGTTGTATGGATTAGGGGAACCAGAAGGACAGGTTGGACTAAGCGACGCCTTGATATGTTATTTATGTAACACTTTGTAAATACATTGGGGATTTCTTACAATATAGTTGAGTAAATAAATAAATAAAGAAACATAAAATAGTACTAACCAACAAGAAATATTAATAAAAATGACATTGATCTTGTTTACTTAACAAATCAAACATAGTTAGGACCCCGTGTTATCGCGCAGAGCCTCTAAATAACGTATAACTGCTGAGAAATATATTAAAAACGACTTAAAATTCCCTTTTACATAACTTTAAGTGTTAAAACCTATTATATATTGAATTGACTCTCTTTCTGATCACCTACCTGAGTTAATTCAGACGTCTACTTGTTGGAAACTGTCCCGCACCTGTAACCTATAAAGAGAGAGAAGACAACTGAGGAGAAAGTGGAAACAAAAATGTTTGACCTATAACAACACCAACCTTTCCGAATCCAAAAGAGGTAGGTTTGAGTGAGGCAAATGTACACGCCCAAATGGGTAGGGTTGGCAGCAGGCGGCAAACTCCGGTTTGTAGAATCTGTAGAAATCTATAGAAATCTCTAGATCATTCTGTAGAATACTATACATTTGTACTTTTCTATAAACTTCTATAATTAAAACTATAACAATCTAAAGAATTCTATAGGACAGAACCGACTCATGACATATCTGTAGAAATCTATAGAAATCTATAGCATTCAAAGAAAACATTTTTCTCTCTGGTGCAACCTATACTAAATTCTATAGAATGATATAAAACTCATCTTTAAATTGGAATAGAGAAAATCATAGTAATCTACATCATTTTGTGGAACTGAGCTGCTTTGCAAAAGCTGTACGGGTAGATCCCTTTGAAATCTTTACAAATGTATATTGGATTATGTGCCCAATTAAATTATGTAACCTATCTAAACAAGTTTCTATGATACAGTATTCTATAGAATTCTATTGAGAAAAACAGTGATCCACAACATTTTATGAAACGCATTTAATAATCTGTAGATTTTTTATATCATTCTACAGAACTAGAATTATACCAAATAAATACTATTCTATACAGCAGATATACCGGTACTTGGCTATTATACCAAATGCTGGATATCCATATATTTGCACAATTTTGAACGGACTTCATTGTTGCTTATATGCGGATACAAACAAACAAAACAGTAGAGTCACTATTAATGCATTTATTACAATGAAAGGTTCACCCTGTACAGTGTATAAGAGTTATTTACAGTGAGAAAGACGGGAAACTGGAACTCATCAGTCTAAATACAAAATACATCTATATCTAGTCTAGCTCAAACTTCGGGAGTTTGCACAAATACATCCTGTCACCTACATTCATCATCACCCCTTTGTTTGCAATCTTCGTGGCTGGTACTGCAGACAACCTCAGTGAGGTCTGTACCAGTACAGTATCACTGGCAGTGTCACACTTTACAAAGTTATCATATGCACGGAACTGTGGAGCTTCTGGGACTGTACAACATTTTGGTATTCCTGCAGTGCAAATCGCTCTGCAATAGTGAATTGTCTGATACGTGGTGTACCAAAGACGCTAACACTTGGCTGGATCTGGAGAATTTTCTGAGTATTTTTTGTTTTACTCAACATTCTACACAAGAAAGTTCCAGCTTCATCGGACATTTGTTCCATATATTCCTCTGCATACAGTGTCAGTTTTTGTCTGGCAAAGAAATATCGGAAGACTTGCATTTGCACTGCCTGAGTCCCGGAAAACAAATCCAAAAGCTTTCCACAGGCATCCTCAAAAACAAATGCCGAGTACGACCAAAGTGGACCCCAGTGCCGCACACTATTGGCCAGATGTGTCAGTGTGTGTATGTTGTAGGACATATGTTGTACTCCATACAATTCTTGTATCATGGTGACAAACTTCACCAGACACAGTTCCGCCATATTGATATCCTCTGGAGACACAAGAGGAGCCATGAGCACATTTATGGCATGCACAAGTAATAGCCAGTGAACGAAGTAGGCCCTTGGCAAGACGTCTTTCAGGACAACTGGCGAGTAACAGAGGAGAAACGATCTCCATTCTGACGCCTTCCAGAATTGGCGTTCATTCAATGAACGCGGAGTCCTTGTTATATCTGATGGCGGCTTCAACTTTGTGAGAGTGCTGTCGATATGCTCGAGCTGCTGTCGCTTCAAATGAAATGGCTGGTCGTTATTGGCCCCATCCAAACACAGCTCGGTAATCTGTCTGACCACCCCAAGGCAAACAGAATGCATATATTCTGGCACAAAGCCTTTGATGATGTCAAACTTGGGAAGCAACAGTAAAGGGCTTGCACCTTTTACTCCTCTCTCAGAGTCCCTGTTTGTTGTTCTAACAATGGTGGCATATTCAACTGTGCTATCATGTGTACGCAATTTTGGAATATCTCCTGTCTGTGGATAGACATGGACTGATCCCTTCCCTTTTCCACTCGTGTTCCCTCAACAACGATTAAAAGATTTCTTGCTCCCAAACCAATTGTATATTTCATTACAAAAAGCAGTTATACCATACTATGTTTAGGTACTAATGAATTATATCCTCAAAACAAACGCACACATAAATAACAAAGGAAAATACATAATTTAATAAATCCACAATATAACATTTTACAGATTAATTTAATAAACTTTTACAAAACATAGGTTGATGTTATATCGGGGGAAAAAGACATATTTAAACATTTCAATTATTCTCTGCATATTTAAGTAATGCTAGTTTATATAACAGATGAACAGATGTACAATATCCAGAAAGTAAGTGCAAAAAATATATATGATGTGTGCATTTCCAACATATCCTCTGAAAGAGTGTTAGTCGTTGAGTTGAGTAGTGAGCCATTCGTTTTTTTTTCGTGGTGCGATGTCTGCTGAGAAGTCCTTGTATGCGTCTCCCGCTCTAACGTAGACTGGAAGTTTACAAGCACACACTCAATGAACCGGAAATGGAATTACGTCATCCCGTGGATCATCCAATGAGCGCGTAGCTCTTATCCGGCAGAAGTGGATCGGGACTTACCCTAAATGCAGAGCCATATAATAGAAGAGTTACGACAACGGAAGTCTAAAAACGGTTATCGTCACGTGGTTCATGTAGAAGAGGATCGTTCCCCGGAAGTTCATGGCGGGCAATGTGAATGCATTGATAACAGGAGATAGAACTACGATTTTTGGTAATTATTAGTGAATAAAGGTTTTGATTTGCAATATTTATACAACAAATCGATATGTGTATGTATTTACATCAATATGTTTTAAAAAATAAAATAGAATTTGCTAATATTAAGTGATAATATTAGGATTAGTGTGAACAAGGAGTTTACATGTTAGGCTAACAGTGCCTTGGTTAAAGCGCCTGTTGCGGTTTATTTATAGCTTTGAATTCTTTAAAACCAATATTATCTTCTTAAACTTGTATGGTAGTCAGGAGCATCACTTTCTAATGTTTATTGATATATTTAGAGGGAGGGGATCTAAAGTAATGCTTTAAAATTCAGATTAGATTAATTTCTACCATTTTCTTAAATTCATGGTAGTTTCAGTAACCATGGTAATTGAGGACACAAGTTATCTAAATGACTAATGTCATCTTTATGGCTTTCAGAAAGGACAGGAGACTATCAAAGGACTAGCAGCAGCAGCATGATGATGATGATGTTACATGTGTTGCTTTAGGAACATCCATTGCAAATACATGGAATTCAATAAACATTGAATAGCATATCATACAGTTTGTCTGTGCCTTTTCCTCCTTGTTGTCCTGGTTTGCTGTGCTGCCTCCTAGTCTCCACCATGGTTTGCTGTGCTGCCTGATGCTCCAATCGCTGAGAAAGGAGTACGAATGTACAGCTTCCCCACTGACACAGAGCGGAGGAAGCAGGAGCAATTTCACGACCAACAGCAAAAAAATATGTGATTTATATACAAACACTGCATTTGCACTTTTTCACAAAACGAAAACCCCACTATTGGGAAAGCTTAATGTTTTGTTTAATACAAAAAACAGGGAAAGGCTTGAAAAACACTGAGAGTTGAGACTCAGGGTGCAGGGTGAGGGTCTCAGTGCAGGTATTCAGGCTCCATTGAATCCCCCTCTGGTTCTTGTGCTGAAAGAGGGATAAACAGACAGGAGAAAGGGTTATACACACCTATATAGCACACCTATTGGATGGGAAATTGCCTTGGGGAGATAAGGTGTGGTCTTTGTTCCCAACTGAAGTTATGGAACTTTATTATTTGTGAGTTTAATAAAGTATGACAAATGGCATCAGTAACATATGTGATATGAATTTCTATAAAGTTGTCTCACATTCTTGGTCATATTGTATATACAGTATGTAATGAGTATAACATGTCCAGTAAGTATAAAGTGTTTCCTAATACTGTGTATTCAACCACTATGGAATATGTATGTGGGCAGACAAAACTGAGTTGTTCTGTGTGTGAAGTAACCTCAAGTCACTCCGCAGGCACATTTTGATGCAGACCAGTTTGTCAAGACAAAAAAGGGCAAGACTAGGCTGAGAGCAGAGGCTATACCCACCATCTTCGTGCATCGCCCTGTGGTCAAAAAGAGAAGGGCCCCTGCACCACGATTCACCCCGGGACCTGTATCTACAAAGCCCATAGCTCATGATCACAGCGATAGTGTGAAAGGTGACACAGGTATAATAAGTATGAACTCTTAGTAACAAAAGTAATATTTCTTATTTTTAAGTGGTATAATATTTTAAATGTTCGAACATTTACAGTGCCATATCTTCTACTTACATTAGTCTCAAAGATTGAGGGAAGAAGGGAAGGGATCACTGCCCTCCACCTGCCAGAGGAGTGCAAACAACAAAAACAAGCAAGGTGTCCCGTCATGTACCTGGAAGTTTGGGTTGGCAAAATGGAGTAAGAGAGGGACTTGAAAAACCTTGGTGGCTCTCTACTCCTGTTGTTACAGTTGTCTTGGTTACAGCTCTCACGTGTTTTTTTGTTGCCATTTCCACATCTTTAGAAAATATGAAATAAAAAATTGAAGTGAAATCAACCTCTTCTCTGGAGAACAAACTTTGATTTCTCTGTCTTGTGAGTTTGCAGTCTTGCTCCTCCACCTGTAACATCACTGCCCCTCCACCTGCCATACAGTAGGTTACTAACAAGATTACTTATATAATACAGTGATAGAATACATGTTTAGTATGCTTACTTATATAAAACAGTAGTATTAAACTTACCTTGTGTTTTCACACTCACTTAAGTTCCTCTCCCTTTGCCATCAATCCAAAATCAGCTGAGCTGCAACATTATACAGGCAGGTAATAATCAACATAATCACAAGGACACAATATGGCTCTGCTAAAAACACTCACTCTTACACGCACCAAAGTTATATTTATCTAATATTTAACTCCCTCCACCCCC